AAACGAGATTTCCAGGCCAATGATCAGGAGGAGCGGGACAGCGGTATAGAGCGCTATGCCATACCACTTCATCGGATACCCGGTCCAGTGCTTGAGGAGGGCCGTGTCAGTTGCTGCTGCTGCGGGTTCGGTGGAGGGGAGCGCTGTCTCAGTCTCAACCTGTCCCGCATCAGCAGGCTCAGCTGCCTCGGCTTCAACGATTTCAAAGGAAGCAGCACCTGGACCCCGGCGAACATGGAAGCGCCGCTCTCGACCAACAATCTCAGCAGTCTGCGTGCGCGGAACATGGCCGAGCCCCTCGACCCTGCCAAGGAGATGTCGGCTACCCCGAAGCAGAAGCGCAACGGCCGCCATGCTGCTAGGGTCACGCGGCAATTCCCAGCTGCCGAGGTGCCAGGCAAGGCACAGCATCAGCGCGTACATGAGGAGAAACAGCTCCTGCATGCCGCCAAAGGACACTCTCCGAACCAGCAGCCTGCGCTCTACAAATGTCGCTGTGCCGGGAATGGTTGTTGTTGTTGTTGCCGGGCCCATCATCTGGGTTTTGGCAAACTGGGCAGAGAGGGCCTGGTAGAGCTTAACGAAGCTTTGCTCGAGCACTCGCGGCTCGAGCATGTCGTCGATACTGTGGGAGCTGTGGAGCATGGCGAGACGAAGAGGGGTAGGCACATGGACCGTTTCGTTGGTCGAGGAGAACAGATGCTCGACTTGCGACGCAGCCATTAGGGAATTGACGAATTTGAACGTGAAATCGTCGGGCGTGACTCCCTCGAGGGTGGTGGTGGCGCCTCCTCCCTCGGGCACTTGAACGGACAAGGAGCTCCGGATGCCGTCGCCGTCGCCGTCGCCATCGCCGTTGACAGTGACGGTGACGAGACCGGGTACAATACGGTACCAGGGCTTACAGAGGATATGCGACAGGTGCAGCATCTCGAGAAAAGGCGGTCCGACAGGCGAGCATCCCTTGCACGGAATGACGTTGCTGCGAAACTCGCGCGAGAGAAGAAGGGTGACAAGGAGCCGGTAGTCGCGATGCCCACTCCCTGTCGGCGATGTGGGATCGGAGCAGTTGACAAGCTGGACTTGGCCGTAGTATTGGTCGTTTGGAATCGGGTTCTCGTACCCCCCGCTGGACTGCTGGGCTGGCGCGGTGAGGTTCACTAGCTCGCAGGACGGGGTTGTGACATTGACGAGGAATCCCGGCCCGCTGGAGCAAACCGTCCCGTCCCCGGAGCTGGGGCCGCAAAATCCCACCCATTCAGGGACGTAACTCGTTTCCCCCGTCTCGCACTCCAGCTCCCCAACGAATACGTCGACCGACCCTGCCAAAGAACGGCTCCTGTTGCCAATTTCTCGGTTGGTGCCTGGCCCAAGCCCAAAGCCCTGAGCCGCATATTCGAAGGTGGTTCCAGGTGGTAAGGAGAGCCGAAAGCGGTCTTGGCCGACGGCAAGGAGGGTATACACCATCCTGGAATCCGGTCCCGGCCTTCCCAAAAAGGCCGCCGCGTCGAAACGGTCCGGCACAACAAGTTGGACCTGCCTGGTGACTTGTACGTCGGCCTCGTGGAACAGACCGCCGGCGAAGACGACCATGGCTATCCAGAGGAGCGTGCCAACCATGGTACAGACCACGAGCCAGTGGCGGTTACGAATGGCCAGCCAGAGCTTCTTGGGCATGAATGTCGAGATGTAGTCGGCATCGATGCCCTTGACGGTGGAGGTGGCACCCTCCTTGAGGGCAACCCAAGGCTGGAGCTGGCGGACACGAAAGTCAATGTGGCCCCACAGTAGCCGGAGGGCAGTAATGGCTGCGACGTGGTTAGTTGTACTGAGCACTGTTTGGCTTCGAACATTGGCAATGTGAGACTGAGACTGACCGGCAGTTGGTACGAACCTGCGGACGAGAACCGGCACAGTCGCCACGGGGGCAACCCCCTGATTTTTCTCAGATGTGATGAAGAGATACAGCAAGGCAGCATTTGCGGCGATAGTCAGGACTCCAAGAAGGCCCAGAGACCAGAGGCTGAAGGACAATGGTCTCCAGGATAACGGGGATACGGGCTCGGGTGGTGCTGAACTCGCAGCATCACCAGCAAGATCGGCCGTCCTGAGGCTATGACTCTCATTGCTCCTCCGCAACTGCTGATCTAGTCGGGGCGCTGGAGCTGTTGCGGGATCCCCAAGTGTGGCCTGTGCTGCTTGGGGACTTACAACGGTGAACCGCCCATGCTCCGACAGCACTGCGTGGTCGGACTGGAATGGGGATGAGTCAAGGTTGCAGCCTGCAAGCCTCTCAGCACCATCAGTCGGTGCAGTTTGCGCGTGCAACGGCACCAGCTCAATAGGTGTAGTTTCCTGGGTGCTTGGGGATTCTCGAATCAGCCTCTCCTCGTCCACATATACACCTTGGGCGGCAGCGGAGTGAGGATTCTCTATATGGAGAACTGGGACCAGTTCCGCGACCACATCCGCTCCAACCTCTGTCGGCCTGTCGATTTCACCCAGAGTTACAACTCGGTCCAACACATCCCTCTCATCCGGTATTACAGCCGCATTTTCGGGAGTGGTGGTGGTAGGGGCGGTGGAGGCCAAAGTGGCAGAAGAGAGCGGGGGATTGTCTGGATTTTCATTTGTTGCCATTTCCTTCGGGTACAAAACCAGCTATAGTTTGTCGCGGAATTGAAAGACTGACCGACGCAGGAGGCTGGTTGCTGTATTTGAGCGGTATCTCCGCGGTCCTCTGAAGGATGGTGTTGGGCTCCTGGTTTTGGCTGGCCTGGTTTTTAATCTGTTCAGCTTGGAGAGCCTTTTCACCATCATCCTGCGGGACTTCCGCTCCGATTGCTTTTTGGGCGGGGGGCTGTATTAAAGCCCGACAACTAGCATTGGATGCCAAGATTTACGGTCTGAGCTAGCTAGCTCTGGCAAATCCGCATGGGAACAAGTGTGACGAAGCCGCGTGGAACATGCGTGACGAAGAGCTGAAGTGGCTCATTGGCCGAGTTGAGCTGCAGCCCTGCTCGCATCCTGCCGGCTTGATCGTCTGACCTAGTTCAGATGTGCAAGGCCTGCCCACTGGCTTTCCTTATCTTTTTAGACCCCCCTTCTCACGGAGTTCCAGCCCTGGAGATAGACGTCCCCCCAAAATCCTTCTCTGGCCGGAATGGCAGCCATGGAGTCCAGTGGAACCTCCGAGTCCCTAAGTCTGGAGCCCGAGCCAACACGCACTGCTTTCCCCTACCGCACGACAACCATGACGATCGGTCCCGAAGTGGCTAATTGGGCCATCCCCCAGGTTCCGCTCACCACCGTCTGGACCCCGCCCGCCAACTGCCCTACGATTGTCGAGATCTGGGAAATTGTGGGATTCACCGCCCAACCTCAGAGCTGCGGCCCGCCGCACTTTATGGATGCCGGAGCCCAGGAGGACGATTACGGATACTATTCGCCGGGTATCTGTCCGCGGGACTACACGGTCGGGTGCTTCATGACAGGGATGGATGTGTTCATGTCGCAGCTGCCGGGGGAGACCGTGGGGTTTTGCGTCCCAAAGTACGTGGCAGTGCTGCTATCCCCTCATGGATGTGGCATTAGGACCACAGCTTACTTGGGCTGACAATTCTGGAAGGTCCTGGGATTGTGCGTTGCACGAGTTTTGCTTCTTTTCGTATGTGTTTGCTCGCCATTTTACTTCGAAATCGTGGTTAACAACAGGAGAATAACCCCCTGCCCGGACACGCTCACGTACAACTCCATCTACGCTGAATCGAGCTCCTCAAACACAGCGGAGCAGGTCCTCGACATAACCAGGGCGGCAGCCATCCAGATCCGGTGGAAGTCCTCTGATCTCAGTGTCCTCGAAACACCCCCCTTGTCGGTGGGGGCTACCGTGGTGCCTATCACCGTCACGAAAGAGAATACTGAAATCGACCCCAGTGTGGAAATCCCCAGGAGCAGGACTGCAACGGCAATGAAAACGAGCACTTCCAGAGCGCGCTTTACGACGTCGGCTTCTCCTTCAACAAGAGAGACGAAAACAAATTCTGCAGGGAGAAGACTTCCCAAGTTAGTCAGATGGACTGCCATTGGGCTTATTTTGGCTCTAGGCTTTTAGGATTGTAGAATGTAGTTGCCACGGGTTCCTTGGGCGAAGGACACCAAAAAGGACAGGGATCGTGCCATGGCAATGGGCTTCCAGCTCCGGAACATGCGGAAGCTTCATGAACATACAGTCAGAGCAATTTTCTTAGGTACCACTAGGTATCCAGCTATAAAACACTGATAATTGTGAGATGAATAACAACCACTGTTACATAGAGCAATTGAACGTTCTGTGCTTTTTAGGGCAGCGGTACCTAGTTTGTGACATCAACATCCTCGTCATTATTCTTGAAGCCATTACCCTCAGCATATCTCCTTTTCGCCTCTGTTATTCTTTTACCCATTTTAAGAGTCGGCTGCCACTCGCGGGTAAGACGAGAGGGCCACGTCTAATTAACAACCCAAGGAACAAAACGGGCCAATCCGCCCGGGGAATGTCTCAGCTTGAGAGTGAGATTTACCCGCTTTCGTGAATAAGGAAAACAAGAATGGAGACCTGATGGGAAATATCAACTAGGTTTTATAGGGAAGAGTAAAAAGGAGCTGGGTTGGGAGGGGGGGTCTAGGTTTTAGGCCACCTGTATCTTACGACGACGTAAACAATAAGGCTGCTGAGTACTACAACTTCAAAGTTCAATGGATACTAGGAGGCGACGGAAACTGAGACAAACTTCACCGGCGCTGACGATGAAACACCGACGTGCAACAACCAAACTGACATGTACGTCAGGACAAGCAACTCAAAGGTGGCGCAGCAACCAAAGAGAGTTTGCTGATTGAAATACAAATTTCTCTGGAGATTTTCCTAGGACGGTGTTGTCCAGCTGATTTTTATCGATCAAGGTATGTCGGCCTCTCTAGGTCATAAACGGGCATTCCGGCACCACTTTCATCCAATCGGGACATTGGCTCAGTCGGTAGAGCGTTGGTCTCATAAAATGATCTGATCGGTCAACATCAGAGTAATCCAAAGGTCGTGAGTTCGATCCTCACATGTCCCACATATTTTTTTACATTTTTGTTGTGGGACCCACCCCTTTTTACCCCTTCTTCGTTTCTTACCCTGCACCCGTGCCGCATTCTTGGGCCAAAATAGTGCCGACACTACAAAATTCAGGGTTGACCAAGTTCATTTTGTATAACAGCTCTGAAACAGTTGAGTTTGAGCTCCCGCCTAGATGCTAATCAGACTCTCCCTCTTTGACGTCCAGTGTGGCCAAGCACTCAGACGGAGCCAACATCTGTACCAGACACCCTTTTCATACCTCAGACGTGCAGCGAGCCCATTTGGTCTACGCAATTACAACGCAAGACTCTTCAGCACGGCCTTCTCCTCGCCCGACTCCAACAGCTTTTGCAGAACCTCCAAATCTCTCAACGCCTCAGCAGGAGTCTGCCTTTCCTCCAACTGCCCCCTTTTAAGTGCCTCCGCAAACCCAACAACCTCCCTCGCCACACCAGAACTGTACTCAAACTCCTTCTTCTCCTCCACCCTCTCCCCACCAACCTTCTTCACAACCGTCACACCCGTAGGCGACCACGTCACGGCGCCCTTATCCGTAACAACCTCGACCTCAAGCCCACTCTTGAACTCCGTCCCAAAACTCATATGCACCGTCCCGCTGCGTCCGCCCTCGGTAAGCGCCACGGCGCTGACCGTATCAACAGGCAGGAGTCTCTCCTCCAACAACCCGCTAAACCCAACCACCTGCTTCACCCGCTCCCCAACCGCACCAAGCAACATCCTTAGCGCAGCAACGAAATGCACACCTCCGTCAAGCAAAAACCCGCCCTGGTACCCCGGCGTCTTCCGCCACTCGGTATTGAAATACTTATCCTCCGCCTTCACCAGCCCATTCCTCGCCAGTCGAAATGTGGTCACACGCCCACCAGCCTCGGCAAGTTGCGCAGCGGCGTATTCCAAAGACGGGATGTACCTGAAATTCTCGGCGACAGCCCACAGCGGCTTTGCGTCGCCGAGCGCGGCGTACCATGCGATCAGGTCCTTTGCATCGGACAGGTTCGCAGCGACGGGCTTTTCCGAGAGGACGTGTTTACCCGCGAGCAGCGCCTTCTTGATGATGGCCGGTTGCGCGAGGATGGGGAGGACGACGATCACCGCGGTGATATCATCGCGGGCGAGAAGGGCGTCGAGGGTGTTGTCTGAGGAAGGGGAGTCGTAGTAGAGCGGGACGGGCGAGGACAAAGCGGAGGCGAGTTTGGCGACGGAGGATTGGGAGCGGGAGTAGAGGGCTTTGAGGGAGAGGGAGGGGGCGGAGAGGATGGCGGGAAGGTGCTCTGCTTCTTGTTAGTAGGTTCACACAATCAAAAAGCGAGGGGTGAGAACGTACGTTCTGTGGCAAAGATGCCTGCGCCGAGGAGGGCAATTCCAATTGTCATTTTCTTTGGCGGTTGAGTTTTCGATGGCGGTGGATTGATTGCTTGGCGGTGAAGTTTTGGATGATGAGATAGGGGTGTGATGTTGGGTTGAAAATGTGTTGAAGATGAGATGAGGTGATTTGGCGATCAAACAGGATTTGTAATGGAGGGTGGAGAATCGAGTCCAATCAAGTTTTGGGACGGGGAACCTGGGCCAGGATCCCGTGTTTGACTTGCAGCTGTGGTGGATATGGGCGCAAAGAAACGCCGGGGATACCGCCGAGCTTGCAGTGGAGGTGTCACACAAAGACTCCCCCCTAGGTCGTGAAAACGCATCTTCTTGCCACGCTCATCAAATCCAGCACAAGTTGCACATGAATACGAACAAACCCGGTAAACCGCACCGCATCATATCACACATCCAATCCCGACTCGCAAATTGACGAGAATAGGGAGGAGTTGCAAGGGAACATACCATCCCATCCACCGTTATCATGCACACACGCCACATTGGGCGACCCAAATGGCTCGACTCCTCAACTAAGCATTGCCCGTACCCCGTATCTGCTGGTGATGAGAACCTTGTTTTGACAGCTGCATTGTAAGACTTCAAGACGGGGAGGGTAGCCAAGGCGGCATAAGTATTTGATGGAAACTCGAAGTTCAACACCAAGTCAGACATATGGAACCACCCAGCCGCCACTTGGGCACTTGCCCGCCGTCAAGGTACGCGTCGGCAAAACGATGGGTCCTTGTCATAATTCATTTCTGCGAGATGCATTCCCTTCCAAGAATATGTCGTCCAGGCAAAATGAGTGATGTCTCAGAGTGGGCTATTCAGCTGTTCCAAATGACTTCTCTGATTGGTTGGGAGCCTAAGCATGTTGTGACGGTCACGCCATCCGCGTTTATCAATACAACAGACCCAATTGCTCAGAAAATCAAATGCTGTGTTACCAGTTACGGAGTCGGGAGACGGGTTTACATGTGGCTGAGGGCTCAGCTCACTCTACCTCCAACGAAAAGAGGACTTGGGGCTCCGGCAGCGGCCTGGATATCATGCCACTCAAGTTTCAAACCCCCCTCCAACCTACTCAGCTCGAACGCGAAAATGGGTCCACCAGCGAGTATCTCTCAGTATATGGCAGAGTGGTAAGTTCGGCGCGAGATTGGACTACCTACCTAGGGATAAACACATCACCTGCCTCATTCCCTACAGGTTGTTCTTAGGCGGTCTGAAGTACTTATAGCTGTGTTGACACCGTCTGTGATTAGGTACCTCCATTGAACAGTCGTCTTCTCATTCTAACAATAGCTCGCCAACTTGCAACATCAAACCTACCGTCCGTCAGAGAGCCACATCATGATTAGCAGCAACACCCCAACAAGCAAGGTCTATCTTCTGGTGTTCCTCGGTCTACTTAGTGCCCTCCCGGGTGAGTCCAACCATTCCTCCGCCAAAAACATAACTTGACCCGTTAACTGTCTTCACAAGATCTCGACCCGTTCGGCTATTACGGACCAGGGAGCCCGCTGGGAAGGGATGCAGCGCAAGCTTCGCTCCCGGAAATTGGTTTCTTGAAGGCGATGGCACCTGCGGCGAACCTCCCGACGAGACCCTATCTTCAACCCCAGCCTTCATCGGTTTCCCCATCCTTTCCCTTGTCGTTTCCACCATAGCCGGCATCTGCAACTTCTACTCTATGAACTCCATGACTTACAGCAAGGAACTTTTCAAGCACGGCCCATGGCGTCAATTCGTCATTGACGCCATTGCCTCTGTGGTGGCGCCGGCTCTCGCCTTGACCGCGTTCCGACAAGACGGCGACATCTACACCTGGCACAGCTTTCACGTTCTTGCCTGGGTTCTGCTGTTTGGATTCCGTCCGGGCGCCATTATGGGGCTGACGCAGATCTTCGCCGGGAAACCGATCTGTGCGGCATCCGCGATGGGCCAGATGGTCCCAGAGGCGGCTTTTCTCATCCTTGGTTGTGCGGGTGTGTTTTTCCCCGAGAATGGTTCGGTGGTTCCGGTTGCCTCTGGCGCGTACAGGCCCGCGGTTTTCGTTGGTGCGGGGTTTGTTGTCTTGCATTTGCTGCTCTTGTTCGTGACGTACCTTGTTTACTTGCGACATAGACCCAAGGGAAAGAATGGCCCGTATCAGGATATGTACAAGGTTTTGATGGGCCTCGGTGGCAAGGTAACGGTTTCCATACTGGGTCTTTTGTCTTTTATTGGGAGTTTTGTGCTTCTGATCGTCGCATCGCAGATGTGTGGGAGACTTACAAGCTTTGTCGAAGCCATGTGCCAAGTACTGCAAGCCGTTTTGAGCTTGCTCTTCGCGATTTAGCAACGCCGTAGGCCACCCAAGTCTAATTCGAGAAGCCAGAGTCTCGACGGCAGGGCCAGGTATGGCCCTCAATACCCCTGAGAGCGAGAACCTGGGAAGACAGGGGAAATGGTCAGCTGATGTAGAGAACTGATGTCCGGGACGCAGCTAATATTTCCGGCTAGCGTTTTTATTAGATGGAAGAGCTTCTATGAGCGTTTTTTTTTCTGAACGAGCGAGTCACAGATTGCTGCAGACGGCCCATCTGTGCCATGGCTTCCAGGTAGCGAGATTTTGATGCCAATATCGAGAGGCTGAGTTAGTATTCATTTTCATATTTTAATCCCCAAGTTAGCAACGGGCAGTTATGAAGGTTTAAAGATGTAGAGTAGTTGTGTATTAACATCTTGAAATATTAAAATATCAAAATAACTGACATAGGATCTATGGTTGTAAACATAAGTGTATTGACATTTCTCAATACACCACACTCATACATAACTCCGACCTTGTTGGCGGCGCTACAAACACTGACCATTATTCCGTTTTAGCCTCTACCTTCTCCAAAAAGGCATCAACAGTTAGAAATTGGACAGTTCAAAATTTTCAAGATACGTCCAACCGAAATAAAAAAAACACAGCAACGATTTTGACATCAGGCAGGCAACGTGGAGGGAGTGTTTTCTAAAGCCACGTGGATGCATTAATAGCTATGCATGGGAAGCTATTATGGAGGCGGTGTATTAAAAGAGTAGAAAGGGGGTATGCGGAAAGCAGGGCTGCTCTTGTCATAAAACGGACCTAGAAAAGTTATTGGGGGTATGAAAACATATCCCTGTGAAGATAATATTATGCGCTGGAGATATTATTCTGTGCCTAAATTATTAGAAAATATATTATGCGTCGAAACTATCTGGTGCTGTGCGAGCAACTCCAGTGTGTAGCAGTCGGACTTATTCTTCACACTTGGGGCTAGTTGAATCACAGAAAAGAGATATATTGAAGATTTCAATTCATCATTCGAACCTCAAATGCCTTCAAACACTCCTAAAAGCCGTTGGAATTTTCCGTTGTGACGCCCACTGGAATTTCCAATATCCGTTCAGTCGACTTGAAGCGACGTCGACTGGATCCAGTGTGCAGATTATTTATCACCATGCCGATATATGAATGAAAGCGAAGCTCTGTGTGCTCAGACTGGTCCTCAGTGCCAGGCTTCAAGGTTGTAATCTGCCTCCGTTGGAATCTCGGACCGCTATCAAAAGCAGCAGCGTTTAGCTATTGAGCGATCG